ACAATAGCAAAGAGATGGAAGCAACCCAAGTGCAAGTCCACAAACAAATGGATACAAAAACTGTGGTACAACCACACAATAGAAAATTACGCAGCACGGACTTGTAAAATATTACATCACATGGGTGACCCTGGAAGACATTATGCTGAGTGCAATATCTCAGTCATGAAAGGACAAATAGTGCGGAAGACCAGTTATAAAAACAGGATGGACATGGAGGAAGGGAGAGCAGAGAAAGAATGCATAGATAATGAACACTACACTGCAGGGGGAGAAGGGAAGGACTATCTGAAAGGAATAAATGATTAGACATTAGATGATGATTAACAACATAGAACAAGACGTGTTACAAAGTGGGGAGGGCAAGGGAGAAAAAGGTATATCAATAAATGAATGAAAACTCATCCTTTCAATAAGCTTTCACTAAAATCACAACAAGGAAAAAGATATAATCCATATTGAAATCTTTGATCCTCTGCAGCAAGCATTTCAAAGCCCTTTCACTATCAGCAAAAGAGGTTGTGTCCTCTGCATAATGCAGGTTGTTGATGAATCTTCCTGTGATCTAGATGGTACATTTTTCTTCATGTAATACAACTTTCCAAAAAACTTGTTCTGCATACAGATTGAATAAATGTATAAAGAAAGGATATAGCCCTGACACGCATCCACCTTTCCTGATTTCAAAATATAATGTTTAGTTGGTCCTTCTTCCAATTGTCTTACTATGTAATTGGTATATTTACCTGAATTCCACATCTATTTCCCACAGTAAATACTAGATGGTTGGTTGTAGATGAAGCATACATCACATAACATGAGTTGTTTAAATGTGTAAAGTAAACTGAAGACTGTGCTGAAAACAGGTAAGTTCCGGTTGTTAGGTCAGCTACGACACACAGCAACCTTACGAACAAGGGATCTGAGGCCTGCCCTCTCCTGGGCCATTCTGACCGTCTCTGACATACTTGAGCCCACAATGACAGTCACTTTGTCAATCCATCTCCTTGAGGGTCTTCTCCTTCTTCACTGACTCTCCACTTTTCCACACATGATTTCCTTTTCCAAGAACTGGCCCTTACTAATAACATGCCCAAACTATTATGAGAAAAAAGTTTCACTATTCTTGCCTCCAAAAGCACCCTGGCTATTCCTTTTCCAACAGATAGTTATTTGTCCTTTTGCCAGTCTATGGGATATTCAGCACTTCCCTCTTACATCATAACTCAGTTCTTCTGTCTTTATTCATTATCCATCTTTCACTTATAGAGCAAGTAACTGAAATGCTATGGTTTGGATCGCCTTGTGCACTTGAGTTTTCAAACATATTGTTGTTCTTTAGGACTTTGGAGAGGTCCCTAATAAAAGACTTTCCTAATGCAGCATATCTTTTGATTTTCTGACAACTGGTGACAAGGGTGTTGATTGTGGATACAAGCAATATAAAATAATTTACAATTTCTATCTCCATCTGTCATGATGTTTTCTTATTTTATTTTTTTTTTTTTTTACTGGCAGGTCAGCTATGAGTCAGTTCTGATTTGACAGTACCTAACAACAGGCTATTAGAGCTCCATCTTTCTTGTTTTTTGTGGTAGTGGTTGTGTACTTAGATTCAGAACTGACCCATAGCTGTCCCTCTGGTGAGTTTTCAGAGGCAGTTAATCACATGCGAGGAGACTACCCGTCCTGCTCCTGAGGAGCAGCAGCAGGTGGTCTTGCCCTACATGCCTTTGGGATTGCAGCACAGCTTCTTGCCCCTAGGCCACGACAGGTACCATGTTTTCTTGATGTTGAAATGTAACTCATATAGAAGACTGTAATCTTTGATCCTTTGCAACAAAATCCTCCTCACTTTCAGCAAGTAAGGTTGTACCATCTTCATAAAACTGTTGATGAGTCTTCCTCTAATTCTGATGTTACATTCTCTTTCATATAATCCATTTCTTGAATGTTTTTTTCTGCATACAGATTGAATAGGTATGGAGAAAGGATACAGCCCTGAAGCACACCTCTCTTTCTTTTAAGCCATGTAGTGTTCTCCTGCTTTGGACACAAAACAAACTGCTGACTGTGTGGATCAAAACAAATTATGGCTAATACTGAAGAAATGAGAACCCCAGAACACTTAATTGTACTCATGACAGAACTATACCTAGAACAAGAACCTCTTTTAAGAACAGAGCAAGGGTGAGTTCTAGGTAATTTAAAATGTAATGGTATGCGCTAATTTTTCCTTCCTAAAATTGTTGCTTGAAAATTTAGACAATTAATACTATTCACACAACCCTGCTTGCTGAAACTGAGGAGGACCTGAAATGCTTGCTGTATTGAGGGTCAAGGACTACAGCCTCCAATATGGATTGAGGCTCAATGTCAGGAAGACAAAGATTCTCACCACTGGACCAATTGGCAGCATCAGGATGGATGGTGAAGAGATTGAGATTGTTCACAGCTTTAGTCTGCTTGGCTCCACAATCAACACTCTTGGCACCAGCAGCCAGGAAATTAAAAGATGTATTGTGATTGGAAAGTCTGCTGTTAGGGACCTCTCCAAAGTACTGAAGAGCAACGGTGTCTCTCTGGAGACTAAGGTGCGTCTCATACAGGTCATGGTCTTTGCAATTACTTGTTATGCATCAGAGAGTTGGACGATGACTAGGGAGGATAGAAGAATTGATGACTTTGAGCTTTGGCGTTGGAGAAGAGTATTGAGGGTACTATGGACTGCTAGGAAAACAAATAGATTCATCCTGGAGAGGGTTAAACTGGGCTGCTCCTTGGAGGCTAGGATTCTGAGGCTTTGTCTGATATACTTTGGTCGTAAGGAGAGATTGGTCCTTGGAAAAGGACATCATGCTTGGGAGGGTGGAGGGCAGGCACAGGAGGGGAAGGTCCTCTAGGAGATGGATTGACTCGGTGACTGGGGTAATTGGGATGAGTGTGTCAGAGACAATGAGATTGGCACAGGACAGAACAGAGTTTAGGGCTGTTGTACATAGGGTCACCAGGAGTCACAAGTGACTCGACGGCACACAACAACAACAACATATTGAGAAGAATGGGAATCTCTGACTACTTGATTGTGCTCATGTAAAACTTATAATTAGATCAGGAAGCAGTCCTTAGAACAGAGCAAGGAAACACTGCATGGTTCAAAATCATGAAAGGAGTGTATCAGGGATGTGTCTCGTCTCCATATCTTTTCAATATATATATAGAACAGATTATTTGGGAGGTTGGATGTTATGAGGAAGAACGTGGCATCAGGATTGGAGGAAGACTCATTGACAACCTGTATTATGCAGGTGACACACCTTGCTTGCTGAAACTGAGGAGGACCTGAGGCATTTGCTGCAGAAGGTCAAGGACTTCCGTCATCTTTGGTCATTGTCTTCAATATGAGTTGAAACTCAACATAAAGAAAACAAAGATTCTTACCACTGGGCCAATTGGCAGCATCATGATAGGGAAGAGACTGAGGTTGTTATCAATTTAGCTTCCTTGGCTCCACAGTCAGCACTCTTGGCACAAGCAGTCAGGAAATCAAAAGACAAATTGCACTGGGAAAATATGCTGTCAGGGACCTCTCCAAAGTGCTAACGAGCATCAGTGTCAGTCTGGAGACTAAGGTGTGCCTGACTCAGGCATGGTCTTCACAATTACTTGCTATGCATCCAAGAGCTGAACAATGACCAAAGATGACAGAAGAATTGCTGTCTTTGAGTTGTGGTGCCGGAGAAGGGTATTGAACATACCACGAACTGCCAAGAGAACAAACAGGTCTATCATCAAGAGGATAGAACAAGGCTGCTCCTTGGAGGCAAGGATTTTGAAGTTCCGTCTCACATATTTCGGACATGTGGTCAGAAGAGACCAGTTCCTGGAGAAGGACATCATGCTTGGAAGGCTGGAGGGACAGCACAGGAGAAAAAAAGACCCTGGATGAGGTGGATTGATGAAGTAACTGGCGTAGGTGTGCCGAAGACAGTGAGATTGGTTCAGGATAGGGAAGGGTTCAGAGTTATTGTACACAATCACTGAGTCAGAAGTGATTTGATGGCACATAACAACAACATACTTAGTTCAATAATAGAAGGATCAGTGGAAAATAAAACCCTTAAGGAGATGGATTATCATAATCTCAAATAACAGCAACGGTCTCAGGCCAATGTTTTATTCAGTAGGTCACTATGAACCCAACAACAATAGCAAAGGACAAGTGCTATTTTAAAGGCTGGGCTATTGTCATTAGTAACTATTTTATAGAAGAGATGGAAAGTTCACAATATTTATATAATCCTTTTTAGTAAGAATTACAGAATTTGGGAGCAAAGTTAATATTTACTTTCTCTCAGCCAATACATCAAACAAATCCATAAGTCTCCATTTAGGTCTGGTTATAAAATGGAAAGGAAAATGTTTTATGTCACCCCATGACATCCTTCTCTTACCTTCTTCATCGCCTTGTTTTTTGGCAGCAACACTATTACTACAGAACACTATTGTTGTGTGCCATCGAGTCAGAACTGAGTCCCAGCTGACCGTCCAGTGAGTTTCCAGAGGCAGTGAATTGCATGACAGGAGACTGTCCATCTTTCTCCCGAGGAGCAACTGGTGGGGATTCGAATTTTAGGATTGCAGCGCAGCTTCTTACCACTAGGCAACGAGAGTTCTCTACTGCAGAACACGGTGAACAGAAGCAGAGAAGTTTTGATCAGAGTTATCTGAAAAGTAAGAGCAGTTTAGTGAAATTAATGGGAGTTTAAAGGAAAGACTGCTCCAGTTTTGCGAGTTCGGTTTTCATTCCTCTTGAAAAGCTTCACGTGGGGACAGGGCGCCTGGAAGGGAGACAGGGGATCCGCCGCGGCGCGAGCAGAGGCACCACGCCCGACCCCTAGCGGGCACCGTCCGGGGTCTGAGAGCCCCTATCCCCGCCCACCCAGCCCATCGGCTCACGCATGCGCCGAGCTGCCGGGCCCGGACTTGTCGGCTGGGAAATGGCGGCCGCGGGCTTGGTTGCTGTGGCCACGGCCGCGGAGTACTCCGGCCCTGTATCGCCGAGCGGTAACTTCTCCGGCATGAACTGCGGCGCAGGCTCCGGAACGGGTCCCGTCCCTGGCCCAGGCTCGTGGAGCCGTTCCCTCGAGCGAGCGCTGGAAGAGGCGGCCGTCACCGGAGTGTTGAGCCTGAGCGGCCGGAAACTGAGGGAGTTTCCCCGAGGAGCGGCCAACCACGACCTGACGGACACCACCCGAGCGGGTGAGCGGGACGGGGGCATCCCTGTGGGCGGGAGACCCGGAGCGCCGCGGGGGCCGCCCGCGCCGACGGTGGAGGGGTCGGGGGGGCCTGGCAGCAGCTGATTCCGTGCGCTCCCGGTCCTCCGCGGTAACGGGGGAAGCGGCTGCGCCAGCCCTCCTGGCCTCCGAGTGTGGGGCGAGGCGGGGCGCGCAGCAGCCCGCGGGGACGGGCTGGCGGCCATCGGTGGGCAGCTCTTAGTTCACCATCCCAAGGACGTTCACTCCTGCCACTTCTGAGGTCAGCGCTTAGCGGACCCACCCTTTAGGATTTGGGGTGCCAAATTGATTTTCTAAGGTTTTGGACTAGAGTGCGCTCTTAGTGCATCCAAGTTAGCAGAGAGCTCGCTCTGATCGTTGCATTGTCAGGAGGGCATCCGTCTCAGCCCTGGAGGTTTTTCCAAAGAGTTTGTTGGGACTTTTTTTTTTTTTAAAGTGAATCTGAATGTTGTATCTTTCTCTGCTTTATCCAGTTGACTTTACCAAATGCACGTAGAAAAACAGTTGGTTTTCCCTTTAGGCGCCCATAACTTTGCATTTAGTAAATAATATGCTTGCTCAGTTCTTCATGGAGAGCCTACCATATCTGTGCTCTTTTTAAACTCTGACTTGGTTTTATACTTTTTTTTTTAAAACACAGGAAGGAGGCTAATGAGTTAGGTAATACTTGGTTTTCTTAGTTATAAAGAGTAATGTCTGTTGACTGTGATGTTTAATATAATTTATTTATGCCTCTCATGTTTAAAAATATCGTTTCTTCGAGAAATAGATTAAGAACTTGAGTCTGTTCATAGAAACACAGGAGGTAACCCCCCCATCTCTTCATACAGATTTTATAGTCTGAAATAGTTAGATGTTTTATTTTCACATAATGATTTTGCAGCTAAAGAAGGTGCAGTATTTTTGCCCTGTGTTTTAAACACCTAAATGTCATACCTTTCTTATGTTTCTGCACTCATTACAGCTTGATAAGTGTTACACATAAGTTGGCTCCTTTTAGAAAAACTGAACTCTTAAACTAATTCAGGAAATTAGTCTTTCCAAAGAGAAACTTTTGGTCTCTTGTAAAATGGAAGAAAGGCCTTTTTATTTCATATCTCTTTGGAAGCTAGTTGTGCTGAACTTGATGTGTATGTGGGGTGTTTTTAGTGAAACATTGTTGCTAGGTTAAATATGACTCGACTGTTGCCATATTTTCTCAAATACAGCACCTAAAATTGCAGTTCATAACCCACAGTTTTCTGATTCTGTTCTAGAGAGTGGAGCTATGGCATAGTGATTTCCAATATGTGTGAGTCATTTTTGTTGCACTACATTAAGCCTGAAGCTATGAGAACAAACTGATTACAGGAGTTTATCTAGGTCATTATCAAACCTGCTTTTTTATCAGTGATATAGTGAGCCTTTAAGAAATATTAACATATCAAAAAAGTCCCACTGGCATTTATCAAGATTAATACATAATCCCCATGAACTTTTTTGCTAACAGTGCTGTGAATTATTAAATATTTTATTATTCATGTTTGTTTTATTAGTTTAATAGTGTTTAGAGAAACCAATCTTTTTAACACTTTAATAGATCAAGTAGAATTATTTTTTAAAAATTACAAGATATGGCGAGCTCTGGTGGCCTAGTGGCAAGAAGCTGCTATGCAATCGCAGAGATGCACTGTTCAAATCCACCAGATGCTCTGCTGGAGAAGGAGGAACAATCTTCTCCTGTACCAGTCAGATGTGATTTGACGGTATACACAAAAAAATAATGAAATAAAATAAATTTTAAAAAAAATTACGAGATACTTTATAATGTATTAGACTGATTTTTAAAATTATATTTTAGATAAAAGTTTATATGGAAAGTTAGATTTCCTCTAATAATTTTTAGACAAATTGTTCCTTGCAGTTTTTTTAAATCAGTGTTACCCTTACAGGCATATCTTGTTTTATTGAACATAACTTTCTTGTACTTGGTAGATGGTGGTTTTTATAAAACAAAACAAAAAAACCCCAACCAGTTGAAGACTGTGGCAACTCTGCACCAAACAAGTCTTTTAACATGTTTTTCCTAGCAGCATGTGCTCCCTTCATGACTCTGTCACATTTTGATAATTCTCAAAAATATCTCAAGCTTTTTCATAAAGCTCCATTGCACATCTAATAGACTATAGTGCATATATAGCTTTTCTTTTACCTTTTCGGTTTGTTTGTTTGGTTTGTTGCAGTTTTTAAAATTTTTTTATTTTGTATTGACTTGCATACATAGCTTTTTTTATGAACTAGGAAACCAAAAAACTCATGTGCTCTGCTTTACTTGAGATGTGTGCTTTATTGTAGGAATCTGGCTCTATCTAGTTGGATCTCCATGGTATACTTTATGTTCCCAGTCAGTTTTTCTGCTAATAGTAATTGGCCTTCTTGTCCCCTGGGTGTCTTTTTACCTTTGCTTTTGGTTAAATGCTGATTGTTTGGTCTCATGTAGTTCATTATTTAAGGGTTACTGTTTATTTTATAAGCCAGTCTATTTATTATTTGACTGAGAGATAACCAACAGAGGTCACTTCAATTCCACATTCAAGAGTCATTTTGTGGCAATCTTCTTGGCCGTTTTTCTAGTCTCTATTGTCCAGTAGGTCCAGCATTTCTTCTACATTTTTCTTCTGTTCTATCCAGGATCTTCTGTTGTTTTCCTTCATCAGAACTATCAATAGTGGTAGCTGGACACCATCTAGTTCATTTGAAGATAGTATGATTAGAAGATAGTATGGTCCCAGTGGGCTGCTCTTATTTTGTGCCGTCGGGCATGTAAAAACTCATAGCAACCTATGAATAACAGATCTGAACTCTGTCATATTCTGTACTGCCCTTATCATCCTTAACATGTTTGAACCCATTGCTGATATTGTTGTCTCAGTCCATTTCATTTAGGATTTTCCTCTCCTTCGCTGATCCCTCTATCTTTCCAAGCATGATGTCTTGACAAGAAATAGCCTTTCCTAATATGTCCAAAGTAAGTAAGCTGATGTTTCACCATCTTTGCCTCCAAGGAGCACTCTGGTTGCATTTTCTCCGAGACATACATGTGTTCTTTGGCAGTCCGTGATATTCATCACTCTTCTCTACAACTCAAATGCACTGATTCTTGTCCAGTCATCTGTGTTCATTGTCCAGCTCTCAGATTCATAACAGGTGATTGGAAAGACTGTGGCTTGAATAAGGCATACCTTAGACTTCAAATGACGTCATTGCTCATTCACTCTTTGGAGAGGTCCCTGACAGCAGATTTCCTAATGCAATGTGTCTTTTAATTTCTTGACCAAGGACGTTGATTGTGGATTCAAGCAACATGAAATTGTTGACAGTTTTGATCTTTTCTCTGATCTTTTCACCTGGCCCAGTGGTAAAGATTTTGTTTTCTTGATATTGAGTGTAATCCAGATTGAGGATGTTAGCAGTTTCAGCTTGCATGGCTCCATAATCAACACTCTTGTCACCCACAGTCAGGAAATCAAAAGACAAATTATACTGGGCAAATCTGTTGTCGAGGACCTCTCCAGAGTGCTGAAAAGCAACTATATCAGTCTAGAGATCAAGGTGCTGCAGTGACTTAGGATGACAGAAGAAGAATCAGTGCCTTTGAGTTGCAGTGCTAGAGAAGAGTATTGAAGATACTATACATGGACCATGAAGAAAACAAATCCTGTCTGGAAGAGGCTGAAACCAGACTTCTTGGTGGCAAGGATTTTGAAGCTCTGTCTCACATACTTTGGGCACGTAGTCAGGAGGGACTGATCATTGGAGAAGACATCAAGCTTGGAAGGGTGGAGGGACATCCGCACAGGAGAGGAAGACCCTGGATGAGATGGATTGACAAAATAACCGGGGCAATGGGGTAGATGTGTCAGAGTCAGTGAGACAGGGAAGGCTTCAGAGCTATTGTACATAGGGTCTCTATCAGTAGCAGGCCACTCAACGGCACATAACAGTCCTTGATCCTCTGTAGCAAGAACCTTAAGTCCTCCCCACTTTCTCACTCCTCACAAGCAAGATGTTGTGTCATCTACGTAATGCAGATTGTTGAGGAGTCTTCAGTCCTGATGCCACGACTCTTAATAAATTCCAGCTTCTGTAATGTTAGTTTGAATAGACAAGGAGAAGGGATACAGCCCCGGTGCCTACTTTTCCTAATTTTAAATAATTCCTTTTAAATAGTGCCCTTGCCCTGTTCATTGAACAGCTTCTAGGCCTACTAGGTACAGTTAACAAGCATAATTAAGTGTTCTGAAATTTCCAGTCGTCTCAATGTTAGCTGTAGTTTGTATGATCCACACAGTCAAACCCCTTTGCATAGTCATTAAAACACAAACATCCTTCCGGTAGTCTCTGCAGTGTTAGCGTTTGATTTCCTGCATTCTCTTCTGCTCCATGCAGTTAGAGACAAATAGTTGTATCTTAGATGGCTATTTAAAGGCTTTAAGGACCCCCTGATGCTATTAGCCAAACTAAGATGAAGTTTATATTATGCCAGTCAATCTCTTTCAGTCCTGTAAACCAATCCACTGAATTGTTTGGGTATATCTAAAAAGCATTTGTAACTGTGTTTCTGTATGGTTATGTATATGAGTATATATGTATATATAAAGCATACACAAATATATTTATAATATGTATATTGTATACAGATACCCCTATATATGCATATACATTTACTCACAAATGTTTTATAAACTCAATATCAAGAAAACAAAGATTCTTACCACTGGGTTGATTATTAGCAGCATCATGATAGACAGTTAAGAGATTGAAATTTGTAACAGTTTTAGTTTGCTTGTTTCCACAGTCAACACTCTTGTAACCAGCACTCAGGAAATCAAAAGACGAATTGCATTGGGGAAGTCTGCTGTCAGGGACATCTCCAGAGTACTGAAGACAACAGTGTCAGTCTGTAGACTAAGATGCACTTGACCG